ATGCTTTGGAAACAAACCTGTTTGTCATCACGATATGCAACTCCAGGTTAGAGGCAAGTTTTATATGATAAGAAGTGACTATGCCATGTGTACATGCCCTTTTTGAACTTCTTGATATACATGCAAGACTGATTTCACGAGTTTCTTGACATTTGCAGTTAACTCCCACATGTTCTTTAACTGGGCTTCTCTTTTGCTTTTCTCCTTCCCTCTACTCTCATTGCTACTTGCTATAGTATTTTCTTTTAGCTTTATGGATCTCATATTTGTTACTGCTTTCTGACACTATCTCTTTGGCACCAGCCTAGACCAGGTACCACTGTGAGTCCAGAATGGATCCAGCAGTGAGTTCAGACTTGTCCGTGTTGTGCTGATGGATGTGGACATGGCCTCTAGAAATGTATCAGCAGAGGGAGTAAGCTGTCTCCTGGGAGAAATTTACTTTACACACAGTAGCAAGTCCATAAGCGAAGGACAACAAACTCAGCCCAACAGCAAAGCTTTAGTCCCTAGAGGAAAAAGGCAATTCTATGAAGAGCAATGACCGGAACTTCTCCCCATCACCATAAGCTCAGGCCGGTATTTTATAAATATATTCAGTGACTAATGTAGCAGAGACTGGCTAGGTATTTCCCAAACTCGTTTCTTTTCCTTCCTGTGCTCACACCTTCCTGGCACACATATTTTGCTACTGAGTTCTAGCAAAATAAATGTGGGCAGAAGTCACTTACACCAGCTCTGGCCTGTGTGATCTGGAATGCAAATGATTTACTGAAGGTCTCCAAGGGCTTAAAAGGATAAAGAAGCCCTAGACTGGAAGACTCCAGAACTCTGAGTGGCTGGGAGGAATACAGCCCCAGTGCTGCCTATTCTGCCTCCCACTTTGTGACATAAGCAAAAAAAGAACTTGTGTTCTCTAGTATCACTGAACTGCTGAGGTGGTTATGACATTTACTTTGTCCTGATTGACTCACTAAGTAGAAATGGGAAGCTCTGTCTAATGAAAACACTGCATCTGACCTTGAGGAATATGCAGTGGAGCACTGGCCATTTTCTAATAAAGTATAACTTAAGAAGAAGAGAGTCATTCTTCCCTACTTTCCATTGCAGTGCAAGGTTTTCACTTTTTTTTTTTGGTACCGGGGATCAAACCCAGGACCTTGTGCTTGCGAGGCAGGCAGTGGAACCACTGAGCTAAATCCCTGGCCCACAAGGTTTTCACATTTTAACCCACGATGTGGCACTGACTGGTGAGAGACACTGGAAGAAGCCTTTTCAGAGGAGGTGGACATGGCCACAGACCTGGCAATCCCAGTGGTGCCGAGGGGATGTGTGGCAGCTGTGGATGGACACGGTGGTCTTGGCTCCAAGAGGAAGTTGTGAAACCTAGTAGGAGGGTCAGGACCAGCAGAAGTGGCTGTGGTGTTCAGGGAATGACAGGTATTACATGACCAGGTCTGACTGTCCTTTAATCAAGTGTAGGATGCTTGGAGATTTTGAGTGTTAGAAAAGCAATAAGAACTGGCAACTATCGGTTCCCTCCGTAAGTTATTGGAACCTGAGAAAACTGGGGAGAAATATTCCCACTATAGATCAATGCAGGAGGAATAAAAGGTGCTTACCTGACTTCAGTTGGGATTTTCAGAAAAAAATCATTTTTCCCCTTCTCAGAGGCACAGCGGTCAGGAAGATGTCCCTCCCCAGCCATGCTTGCTTTACTTTTCTGGAGGCAAGCTAAGTCCACAAGCCAGGGGGCTCCTGGGCATATCTACATTTTCCATTTTCCATCTGAAAAAAACACAGATGAACAGATTTGAGTATTTCTCTCCAGTTTTCTCTAGTTCTGATAACTTATAGAGGAACCCATAGTTGCCAGCTCTTATAAATCTCCAAGTGTCCTACACTTGATCAAAGGACGATCAGATCTATAGTTCCTATGTTAAAATGGAAAAAAATAATGTAGCAGGATGAGAGATTTCTGGCAGGGGCAAGGGAAACAAAAAGGAGAAAAGCTGAGGGGCCTGGGGAGGGAAGGATTTCTCAGCATCTGCTTCCCCTTGAAAATCATTTGGGCAAAGCTGGGTGATTATGAGAGAAGGTAAATGCTATGTAGATTAGGCATAGAAGTGGAAGGGGCTGGAGATGCTACATCTATTTGATGTGTGTCTGCTCACATTTGTTTATGTGCATATAAACAAATGACTGGGTAGATACACACAGGCACTTCAGGTAACTATCCAGTTTGAAGCAGAGTTTTTCATCAAAATTTAAACTATACAATTTTATTTTACTTAGATCACATAAGAAGGGACACTCCTGGAATATACTTTCTCACTAAGGAACAGATTTTGTCCCTTTCCTTCCATCCCATGTAACCTGGCTGTTCTGGTCTACTCACCTCTTGTTCTAGAAGCTCAAGTTCTTGTTATTCTGCAACTAAAACTGCCATATCCTTTATCTTTCTAGACGTGAAGGTCATTTTTCTCAGTCTTTCTATCACAGAATGTGTTCGAATTAGCTAATCTGATATCAGGCAAGCAACTACTGGCTTATTGTGACTTGTGTTTCTTTATTTAGATGACCTACACTGATGTAAAATATGGTTTTTAATCATACCTCCAGAGAAGTGGCAAACAGTATACATTCTGGGTATTGTAGAATGCTGAAGGAATTAATCCATAAATAAATTATTGAACCCTTAAATTATTATTAACTTTATTGTTACTAAATTGAAATTTAAAATGTAAAAACCATTAATAAAGTATCAGTAAAAAGAAGAGTAATACTAAAAAAACACTAATGGCAGGTACTGTTCTAAGTGCCTTACATTTAATTTATTCTCAGTACAACTCTGTGGAACTACTTTAACTCCATTTCACAGACGAGGAAATTGAGGCAGGGAGAGATTAAGCATCTAGCTGTTTGTGAAGCTGGCAGGACATGATAAAGCTGGGATTTGAACTCAGGAGGCCAAGAGTCTGGAATCCCTCAGGCAGAAGAGTCCTATCTACAATTCCTCATGGGATGATGCGGCTTCTGAAGTGAGTGGCATCTTGGAGCTTTTATTTTGACCCTCAGAAGTACCATCATTTTTCCAGATCTTGGTTTTCTCTTCAACAAAACAAGGAGATGGAATAGCCTCTAAAATAATTCTGCTTCCAAGATAATGTAACATCTTTAGGATTTCTGCATTAAAACGTTGATCTCATGGCGTCTTTGGGGAAGAAGCAAGTTGGTTCTTGCTTCCTAGACCTGGCACGCCAGAAAATGCGGGATAGGGTGCTGACTGCAAAGAACTGGGAACGGGAAATGTGAGTTTGAGTTCCAGGGCACTGCAGCGTGCACCTGAGAAACATAAAAAGACACCTTGAACTGTGTGTTTTGAGCAGATCACACAGTGTCATTTTCACAGTGAGTTTATAAAGTAGGTAGTGTCCTCTCCACTTAACAAAAAAGAAGCTGAAGCTCAAACACCTCAAGTGACCTGCCCAAGACGGGCCAGCCAGTGAGCAATGCAGATAGGCTCCAAATCCAGTTTGTTCAACCCCAAAGCCTACGCGCATTTCACAAGCCGCGCCTCTCTAAGTATCTGTTATCTCACTGGAGTTTCTCCGCAAGCCTAGGGGGTGGTTATTGTCCGCACACAGGGATGAGACTTAAAGTGGGAAGGTGACCTGCTAGGCGGCCTGTGCTGCAGCCCCGCACCTCCTCCTGCCCGGCTCGGCGCGGGTCCCACCTTCCCGGGACGCAGCCCACGCGCGGCCCCGCCGCAAACTACAGTTCCCGGCAGGACGCGCCGCGCGCACGCGCACCGGGGCCTCCGCCATGGCGACAGTGCTGTCCAGGGCGCTCAAGCTCCCGGGTGAGGAGGCGCAGCATCGCGACCCCCTGCCCTCACCGGGCCGGGGGAGGGAGGGAGGCGAGGCTCCGGGGGCGCGGCCGGTCCGGGACGGTCCCCGACCCCGGAGGGCTGAGGGCGTCCCGGGGCGAGCGGGGTGCGGCTCCCGCGGCTGGGGTCCGTCGCCGCCAGGGGGCGGGAGGGGCGCGGCGGGGCGGCGGAGCGGGGGGGGGGGGGGGGGGGGCGGGGGGCCGGAGCTGCGGGGCGGCGGGGACTACGGAGCGCAGCCGCAGTCTCCCAGGCCGGGTGGGTGAGGCGAGCATCCTTCAGCCAAGCCGAGGACCAGGTACCGGGACTCCATCTCCTTCTGTCCTGGGCTGGACCTGGGCGGGCGCGGGGGTTGCAGGGCGGGAAGTGACCCCGAGTGAGTGGAGCAGTCTCTCCACGTAACGACAGCCGTGACGCGGCCCAGGGCTGCGTGAGACAGGTGTTTTTCCCTTCCCAGGAAAATAACTTCAGGAGGATGGCTAATGGAAGTGCCCAGGGTCGCTCAAGCAGTATTGGAGAAGCCTATGAGCATCAGGGCCGTTTTGGACTCTAGATCCTGAGCTTTTGACTATACTTAGTCTCTGGTTGCTGAAGCGTGGGAAATGATTTGGCACCTGTTAAGCCTATAATGTATGGAATATTCTTTAAGAAAGTGCTGGTGGCGCTGACAGCTTCCAGAGGTGATTCAGTACTTCGGGCAGCAGCTCCCAAGTTTTTTTCCCCTTTCATCTTAAACTGCTAGAATAGGACTGTACTGTTAGAAACTTGCTATTTTAATCAAAGTATTTTTATTCTGCCCAAGTAAATGTTAAACACTTAGGCTTCAGAAAATTTTACAGTGTTGTATAAATTTTAAACATGAAGTTATAAGCATTTATTTGCTCACAACTTAAAATGTTCAAGGGGAAGGCGATTGCTTTTCCTGGCATCGTGTTGGGTGCCTGGTGGAGACTCAGCACGAGAATGCCAGGAGTCTCAGGGGCCTTGTTCTCAAGGAGCTTCCAGTCTGTTGGAGTGAGACAAGCCTTGTGCCTTGGGTGACTCTGGGTTGGATGTGAATTTGCATTCCTGTCCTCAGACTTCATGACTTCAGACAGATATTTTTTCCCCTCAGGGCTCGTTAGAGCATGGATGGAACGCTGATAATGTCTACCTTGGAATGTGTAGATAATGCTGTATTGGAATTAAATGAGAGACAAGTCCCATTTACCTGCCGGATTAATCTACTGTGGAAAGAGTGGCCTTATATAGGTTGATATCCATCCAAATGTCAGACATATTTAGCTTGCTTTCCTCCTCCTATTCCCCTCCTCTTCTTCTTCCTCCTCCTATTCCTCCTCTTCATTTTCAGTCCTTGTTTTATTTCAGCATAGCTAATTGTTATGCTCTGAGGATGAGAATGCAAGAAGATCTTGATTTAGAAACACTTGACCTCTTTTGTGGTTTCCCATCCTGAGGCTGTGACATCTGTACTCCTTGGACCCTTTAGCTGTAGTATCTTGGTCAGCTGATAGTTGGGGTAAAGAATCCTGTAGCTCTGTCCTTGGGCCTGTGTCTGACTGGTAGCTTGGATCTGAGTAGGAAGGTACAATGGATACTTTTTAAAGCCTGGATATACTAACCATATGTTCTTTTATGTGATATAGATTTTCTTTCCCACTTGTACTTTTTCTGGTTTCTCTCTTGTCCTTTCTCCACTCCACCCACAGTACAATTTCGGGCTTTTCTATTAGGTAGAAGCTGCTGTCTTATAGCTGTTTTTGGATATCCCTTGACAGGCTGTGAGACTGCGGTCTTGTTTGGGTCATGTTACTCTGGTTAACATCCTCTCTGCTTTTCTGTGTGAAGAAAGCAGAAGAGAATGGTAGCTAAGAGCAGGACACAGGCTCAGGTTCAGATCCAGGCTTCACCTGATTAGCTGCTTAACCTCTTTAGGCTTTACTTTCCCTATCTGTAATAATAATGTTATTAGGGAACATTCACTACATGCCAGAAGCTGCACTGCATACTTACCTCACAGGGCTATTTGGAATACTAAAAGAGATGGACATACTTAACTTCTGACAGGTTAGTTATTGTTGTTCTTATTATCAGTAGCACCATGTTCATTTATGAGTGTGGTACCCGAAGGAAGAAAGACTGACGCAATTGTTGCTGTGGACAGACCTCAACAACCTAGTAATGTAACAACAGTGGCTGGGAATGTATTTCTTATTCTCAAATCTTTTCACTAAGCCCAGGATGGAAAAATGTTTGGCTCACATGTATGGCATGAGGTTAATTAATAACAGAAGAACAATACGACATTCATAAAGCCTGTGGAACAACTTATCTCTTAAGTATATATTTTTTTAGGTCATTTTAAAAGATTGAAGGTCAAACACTGAAGGGAATATCAGAGCATAATATTGTTATGGTTTATTTTATTACTTGTGATTTAGAGGTATTGTGGCTCTGGATAAACTAATCCATGATATGAATTATTTACCCTTACATACAGTTACATATTCCATAGTATATATATATATATATATATATATATGTATAGTGTATATTACAGTATAGTGTATGTTATAGGGTACTATATGCTTTGGTGTGTTTTCCTGAAAACATTTGGGAATGGCATAATAGTATATTTAGGACTTCTTTAGTGAATTCCTCACTACCATGTTGGAAATGATACTTAGTTGGCATCCTCCATCTCCCTTGGAGGAAAAGCAATGTGGAAAGCTTGTTTATATTGGTACATCTTTCATTAATTAAGAATCTGAAAGCAGCAGAGATGGAAATGAGTGTTAAGTGTTCTCAGCTTTGAAGCATGGATTCCATATCTAGCTTCTCAGCCCGAGTGTGACCTAACACAAGTCAGAGAACTTCTTTATTCTTTCTCTTGTTGTCTTTCTGCAAATACACAGAAAACAAAATCATTAAGGACTTCTTTAGTTAAATCATGTAGACTATAGTAGTTAAGCTGGGATTTGTTTTTGCACTAGTGGAAGAAAATGTATTAGTGTGAAAGTAAATGTTTATTGTACTCCAGAAGTTGGTCAGAAACTGGCCCTAATCTTCTGTGCCCTTTGGAAGGAAGGCACAGCAAGTAGTATGGCTGCCCTGACATGTGTCCCCGCCTGTATACTTCAGAGATGTCGGAGTTGTGGGACTTCACACCACATGGTTTTAGATGCTGCTTCACTGTCTTGTACGTTGCAGTGGAAAAGTCTGCCCCCTGTCATTAGAGATTTGATTCTTTTTCCCTTGTCCTGGCTGCTCATAGCATTTGTTCTTTGTTCTTGAAGCCCAGTGCTTTTACTAGGATATGTTTCATTATTGATTACTCTATATCGTGTATTTTTGGCCTCTGTCTACCCTTTACTGTACAGTTTTAGGTCTTGCTTTATTGCAGGTACTATTTTGTATCTGCTTTAGTTTTGTTTGTTTTTATTTTATTTTTTGTTTGGTTGGGTGTTTTTTGGTACCTGGGATCAAACTCAGAACCTTACCCTTGCAAGGCAGGTGCTGGAACCACTGAGCTAAATCCCTGGCCGCCTGTTTTTGTTTTGTTTTTAAGACAGGGTCTCACTATATAGATCAGGCTGACCTTGGCTCAGTATGTAGACCAGGATCCTCCTGCCTCAGCCTCCTGAGTGCTGGGAGAATGCTGGGATTACAGGCATGGTCAATATATCGGTTTGTGTTTATTTTATAATTCATTTTATTGGTATATTTTAGATATATATAATGATGACATTCATCATAGGGAATTTGTACCTATACAGGATATTTCTTAATTCTTTGTTTCCCATTCTCCATTCCTCCCTTCCTTTCAATACTGTTTTTGGTTCTCTTTTCTCTTCTCTTTAGTTATGCATATGCTCACCTTTGTTCTCTATATTGATCGAGTTCTTTCTAGTCTTTTAAAATGCCTTGTTCACCAGGCATAGTGGCCCATGCCTGTAATCCCAGCACTTGGGAGGCTGAGGCAGGAGGATCACCACAAGTTTGAGGCCAGACTGGGCTACACAGTGGGATCAAGGGCAGAGGTAGCCAGTGCAGACTTTGAAGCCAGACTGCCTAGGTTTGAATCTAGCCGCTGTTTAACCACAGACAGTTGCTTAAACTTTCAGATGTCAATTTCCTTATCTAGACATGAAAGACAATAGTATGTCCACCTCAAAGAGGTGTTACAGAGATTCCCAGAGACTTTAAAAGGGCTTGGGAGAGTCTCTATTAAATGCTCAAAACTGCCAGCCTTCTTGTTATTGCATTTGATTTTGCTTGGATTGTCACTGCTCTATGCTTTGTTTCTGAGTCTGATTCCAATAAGAATTTCTTTTCTAAAATTGCTTTATTATCTTCTTCTGTTACCTTCCTGACCTTGCTTGTTTACTTTTCATTTTTTCTGCCATTTCTTCCTGGAAACGTTATATGTTTCTCTGAGCCCTTATTTCAGAGAAGACCATTTCCTTTAATTTCCTGAACTCCCCAGGGAAGCAACTATTCACTGTTTCTTCCATCTTACAGTAGAATGGTAGAATCAGAATCGGTGCAGTGTTGATTCTTAATAGCTGGTTTTGTTTGCCGTGTCTTGAATATTTGTAGAACTCTGTGGTATTTTGTGGAATGAGTGCTGGTAATATTTCTTTCTGATTGCTACTTATATTTAAATGAGGGTAAGAGTTGTTGGCTGACACACAGGCAGAGGCAGGGCTGGGGGAGTGAGCTGGGAGCTAGAATTTCCTGTAGGCCTGCTGACTCTGATCTCTCCCCAGCAGTCCACCTCTATTTTCTCTCTCTATCCTAGCTAGCAGGAGAATGCTGGCTTATCACTGGGCCTGAAGTGCTGATAAAGCCTTTGATTCTCTTGGTTTGCTGTGTGTGTTTTCAACCCATTGCTCCTGAACTTCAAATTCACCTTTGTTATCTGTGAAAGTGGATCTGGACTCTTTTAAATGCCAAGTTTATCTTTTCTTTCATTACTATTCCTTAGCCATAGGGTACCTTTAAGTTATCTTCTTAACTTTTTATTTCCTCTCTTATATTGGTTAGTACTTTTTTTGTATTGAATTATCTTTTAATTACTGTGTGGTTCCTGTTTCCTCATGAGGCATAGTCTGTCCAAACAAACAAACAAACAACAAACAATGACGGAAAACAAAATTAGCTTCCTCAGAACCTGGCCATGTCTATAGTTACTTTTTTTTTTTTTGGTACTGGGGATGGAACTCAGGACCTTGCGCTTGTGAGGCAGGTGCCGTGCCACTGAGCTACATCCCTGGCCCTATAGTTACTTTTTTAACCTGCTATACTGAAAGGTTGCTTCTTGTAATGATGTCTGCTTATACTTTTTCTGCTTGCCTATGTGATGTTGAATGGGGCTCACAGGCATTTCTGTGACCCTAGACTTTGTCTTTCCAAGCAAAAAATTACTGATTGAGCAGCTATGTGTCTTTGAAACAAGGGGGTAGTAGTACAGCTTGTCAGTTAAAACAAATAGACTGTGCAGTCAAATGCATGGGTTTGGATCTTGGCTTTTCTTCTGGCTGCTTCTGTAATCTTAGGCAACCTACCTTGTATATTTTAGTTTCCTTATTGATAACATAGGAATGATACCTACCATGTGGGTTGTTGTGAGGGCTAAATGAATTAAGACATGTAAATTGCTTGGATCAGTGCCTGGGATGCCAAACACTCAATATACTCCCACTTGTTGTTATTATTGTCATCAATTCTGTAAACTCTGCTCCTTGCTGAAGATTTGCAGATGTATATGCCAAATTTTATGGTGTTTCCTCTATTAGATACAAGTATCACTGTGTTTGGCAACTGTTTTTCATAAACTGTGGTTTGGGATTGTGAGCTCTTTCCTATTTTTTTTCTTTCTATTTTTCCCTCCTGGTTTTAGGGAAAATAGTGTGACAGAAATGCCTTCCTATGTCACCAATAACTGTAGGGGTCTAGCCCTTCTTAAATGACCAACTCAACAGCAGTTTTTCCCCCCAAAGAATGGTTGCAAATTATTTTTATAGATTTATTAATGATTGTCTACATTTTTGTAGCAGTAGTCAAGTTTTCTTCCTGCCTGCCTGTGACAGTGTATGATAATGAATTTTCTTTAAATATTTTGTTATCCAGTATTTTATTAATGATTTCACTTTGGCAAAGGTGCTATTTTAGGTTATGTTTATTGCAAGGTGGAAACTGACAAGTGAGATTGAATAAAATAGATGTTGATGCTAACTTTTTAACTTGGTGCTAAAAGTCCAATTGTACAAAATTATAGGATGGCTTGAACCTGTGTTAAAAGTGCTTAGGAGTTTTGGTTGAATCAGTTGTGTGTGGGACTGCCAAGAAAGCGACCACAATTTTAGACTGCAGTAATTGAATTGTAATGTGCTATTATTGTAGATAGGTAAGTTAATTAGATATCTTGTAGGCAGTTAGACAGGGCCAGCCTGCGAGGAGCCAACATGGGACAGTCAAGGAGCCAGCGTGGAGGACAATCAAGACACATTCACTAAATGCCAGCATTGTAAAAGAAGAGAATCCACCACACCTGCATAGGATGAATACCAGTGATTGATATTCTAAATAGGTATTAATCACCTGGTTGGGCGACCAAGATCTTCCATGAAAGATCCCTGACCCACACCTTAGCTAGAATCCTTGCTCTCTTCTTGTATGCTTGCTATGTGACTTGCTTCCCCATTGGATCCCTATCTAATCAATATTACCTAAGCAACTATACTTGTCATAATCATATTGGTTGTTCATAGTTTTGTCCGCCTTGTGATTTCTCGTTGGATCAATATTACCAAAGGGACTATACTTGTAATCTTACTAGTTGACTATAGTTTTGTCCCACCTCCAACCCGCCTCACCTCGTGGCTTTGTCCCCTAAGATACCTTTGAGAAGTTGGGTGAGAGGGCAACCCACTTTCCAGTCCGCCTTCTGTCTCTCTTAGACAGAAACTATCTTTCTCTCAATAAATTTTTCCTACTCTTAACCTCCGTTGTTCCTAGAATTCATTCTTCCATTTTGGAGAACAGGAGCTTGCGTTTCAGCCATCTAATAGGTTTGGCAGTTAGATCTCTTCCCCCTATATCACTATCTGGAGTCACAGGAGCACAGTTCTGTCCTCCTCTTCACTAGTCTGCACACTGCAACTATATCAGTTCTGGAAAATATGCCTTAAAAAGCACAGACCTAACACATGTGTCTGAGGAGAGCGACTCGGGATGTTAAGGACACCTGAAACAAGGCTTTGTTAAGCAGTGGGTTGAAAGAGATGAAGGTGTTTAACTTGGAGATTGGAGGGTGGCCAGGGACATTTGGGAAAAATAATGACAACCATGGTAATGGTAATGATACTAATAGAAGCTCAAAGTCATTGAGTGTGACCATAAGCCAGGCACCAAGAACAATCAACACATTATCATATTTAATCCTTATAAAAATCCTCCAAGACAGGAACAGTTATTATTCCATTTCATAAGTAGGGAAATTGGGGCTCAGTGAAGTTAAGACACTTAGAGGTCACACAGTTAGCAAGAGGGCCAAGATTTGTCTTTTGTTTGTCTCATTGTGAAAACCTGAGCTCTTAAAATTCTGTATGACTTTGAGATTTGCAAGTATGTAAAAGGACTTGAACGTGGAAGTGGCAACTACCCAGAAACAGGTTCTTGGGTCAGTGTAAAGCACTGCTTTCTAGGCTGGAGGGCAGTGGATTCTCTAATGCTGCTTATGCTCAGGTGCTCCTAAGTGACTGCTTGGCCTTGGTAAGGACACGTGTAAGTCTGGGGTCTGCAGGAGATTATGTGATCTTTAAAATCTCTTCCAGCCCTGAGGATTTGGGGATCTTGTATGTTTTCCTCTTTGTCAGGTATATTTAAATTTTTTAAAAAAAATTTGTACAAAATACAGATACCATAAAATTTACTGTCTTAACCACTTCAAGTGTATAGTTCAAGATAATGTATAGTCACATTATTGTGGAGCGAGTCTCTGGAACTTTTTCATCTTGTAAAACTGAAACTCTGTGCTTACTAAACAATGACCACCAATTTCCTCCAGATCTGGGAAATCACCATTCTACTTTCTTTTTCTGTGAATTTGGCTGCTCTAGGTACCTCATGTATGTGGAATCATGCTACCCGTTTTCTTGTGTCTGGCTTGTTTCACTCTGTATGATGTCCTTGATCTTCATCCATGTTGTACCATGTGCCAGCACTTTCTTCCTTTTTAAGACCACACAGTAACACATGGCATGTGTGAACCGTCGTTTGCCTATCATGTCAGGTGTATTTTATTTAAAAACAAAAGTTTTAGAGCTGATGTTATCATAAAAAGTTTGGCTCTGTAAATTATATATTGAGGTACTTGGAGTGGATATAGAATGGAGTACTCTAATTAACAAAATTATTTGCAGTAGGACTATACATTGTAGGCGATCAGCCTGACCCTGTGGCATATCCTGGAAGTACTATGTTAAATTAAATTCCTAATAATCAGTTTATTTTCTTAAAATTTGTGCCTTTAAAAATCAAATCCAAACTTTACTTGACAATGAATACCTTTGAAATGAAAATGAGAATTTTCTAGTTATTAGACTTCCATATTACTTAGTATTCTCTGTGGGGTTTTTTTTGTAGTGCTTAATGTTATAAAATAATTCTGTGGAACCTTGTTCGTTTAACATCAAACAATTGTTGTTTTTCTGTGTACCAAATACTAAACTTTAGACTGAAGGTTTTCCTCTCCATATCTGGCCTCCATTATTATGATTTATTGCTTCATTTCTGGTGTTGAGCAAACAGGCCTGGTATGGGAAATTAGGTCACCAAGTGATCCAGAGGCAGAGGTTGGCATCAAGAGTTTTTCTTCCAATTAGCTGAGTTGTGTTTTCTTTTTTAATTTGCTTCTGAACAAAAGATTTAACAGTAGCATTTATATATTAGTAGCAGCTTGCCAGGTAAATTTCCAAGAAAAGGGAGTTTTTCTTGGTTATAACATGAAAGAAAGGCATAAAATCATTTAGTCACTGGACTAAATGATTAGTGAGGACCAGAGGTTGACATAGGAGATATACTTAAGTCCTCCTGTAATTTCTGTCTCCAGCCTTTCCAAATCAACACAGGGTCTAAGTAAGAATAGTGCTTGCTGAGCGCACCAGCTTTCAACAAGTCTATGGCTACTGTCCTGCTGGGTTGTCTCCTCTCCAGGGTGCTTGCTCACAACACAGCCTGAAAGGTAAACACTGTGCCCTAAAAGATGCACTGAAAGGACATTCGGACCACAGGACAGTTTGAGAAGTGAGATTCCAGTAAAATCTCCAGATGACATTTAGCACTAAGTTTTCATAGAAACAATTGGGAACCCATGAGGAGGACCATGAAGAGCAATGTACAGAGCAGAATTGTTCTAGAAGTTTACCAGGAGAGAGGAGGGCTTCATAGATCTAAGAAATCAAAGGCAATAATTCATGTTAGGTACCTGGAAAGTTGATGTAAGAGTGATAACTTTCTCCATAAATGAGAGTCAAACAAATTAAGAAAGCTTTTATAAGACTAAAGATATTTGAAATTTGCTAATTTGCTTGTCTTCTTTTAAAAAAATTTTTTTGGTGGTACTGGGGATTGAACCCAGGGACCCTCTGTCTGTCTGTCTGTCTGTCTACCTGTGTCTATCATGCATCTATCTGACTATCTATAGGTAGGTGTTCAGGCTGGGTTTGAACTTGTGATCCTCCTGGCTCAGTCTCCCAAGTAGTTGGCATTAAAGCATGGGCCACTCTGCCTGGCTTAATTGGCACTTAGTAATTGTACATATTTATAGGGTACAGTGTGACATTTCAATACATATATACAATGTGTAATGATCAGATCAGGGTGATTGGCATATACATTTCTTAGTGTTGGGAGCTTTTAACATCTTCTCTATTAGTTATTTTGAAATATTTAATTAATCGTTGTCGACCATAGTGCCAAAGAACATTAGAGGTCGTTCCTCCAATGCAGTTGCACCCTCTATCTGCTAACTGTCCTTTCTCTATCCCTCCCCTCCCCATATCCTTCTAAGCCTCTGGTAAGCATTATGTGTTCTATACCTCTATGGACCAAGTTTTTAGCTTCCACATATAAGTGAAGACACACAGTATTTGTCTTTCTGTTCCTAATTTATCTCGTTTAATATAATGATCTCCATTTCCATCCACGTTGCTGCATCCTTTCCAATTTTCCTAACCTGGTGCAGGCAATAATTCTAAAGTATCCCTCCTCCCATTGTCCCCATTACCCCTTTGCTGGCACCTGATTTTACAGGTAGCCACCAAGGCCCAAGCTTGATATAAACCCGCAGCCTTTTGCTCTCTGTGTTTCCCTAGGTGTTGGTGGTTGCTGTGGTTTGGTGATGGTCTCTCCTTGCTGGTTCTCCTTGACACTGTCCTGTCTTCTCAGGAAAGAAGAGCCCCGACCTTGGGGAGTATGATCCCCTCACCCAGGCCGACAGCGATGAGAGCGAAGATGATCTTGTGATTAACCTGCAGCAGAAGAACGGAGGGGTCAAAAATGGGAAGAGCCCTCTGGGAGGAGCACCAGAGCCTGACTCTGATGCAGAGGCTGCCGGGCCTGCAAAGCCACATCTCTCCGAAGTCACCACAGAGGGCTACCCCCCGGAGCCCCTTGGGGGCTTGGAGCAGAAGGCAACCTCCTCCCTTGTGTCCTACGTGCGCACGTCCGTCTTCCTGCTGACGCTGGGGGTGTCGATGGTCTTGGTGCTCCTCTGTGCTTTCCTCATCCCCTGTCCCCCCAGAGATCTGCACAGCACTTGGAGCCATCGCTTGGGCTCTCAGGGAGGTGCGTGGTGGGATTTTCAGTGTTAGTTCTGGAAAATTTTATGGTATTATCTGATCAAGTTGAATCCCCCCTCCCCCCCATCTTCAAAATGAATGTGTGTCATAGAGACAGGTGTCCGCCCTGCCCCTGTGCATGGAAGTGATTGGGAGGATAAGATTGGAGAGCAGACAAGCGGATGGGGTGCTGCACCTCCCTACAGTGTGTTGTGTTAGCCCTGGTCTTGGTTTGCTGGGTTCCTGCAGGGGAGTGAACACTGCACAGGGAGCGCAAAGCTGCATAGAGGAAAGTAAGGCTCCCGGCCCCTCGGGCCGTCCATGAGTATACAAGCCTGGCCTAATTAGAATTGGAGAATAATTCCTTTTCTTGTGGGAGACAGTTGCTGCCTTTTCTTTCCTGTCCCAGTGGTTAGGGAGGTGGTTCCCCAGCAAGGCTGGCTTTTCATCTCCGAAACCTGTTGCTTTGGGACGGGGATTGCGGGGATTGCATTTCATCTGTGTGGAGCCTTTGTCTCCTGGGAGCTGGATGGGTTCCCTCAACCCAGGGAAGGGCCTTTTCTCTGCTGCTTCTCTGATTCCAGTGAATTAGCTTCCGGTGGGCTCTGTGTTCTCATCTTTGGGTCTCTTAAGGCAAACTTAGTTTACATATATGATATTTTTATGAAGTATGAAGCCTCGTAACAAATTCTGGGTGACTCCAACACCCAGCTGGAGGGATAGAACATATTGGTAAGTGAAACAAACCAGACAGGGAAGGATAAATATCGCATGGTCTCTCTTATACGTGAAACCCAAAATATAAAAAATTTAAGTGTAAAGCTATGAAAAAATTAAAGAGCAAAATAGAAAGATGGTAGGGAAGTAGAATTTGTAGAGATGAGAAAGATATATGGGGGGAAGGTGAGAGAGAAGTAAAATGACCAGGATGTGATATGTATATGTACCAGTTCTCCAAGATGCAGGCAGTTATGATATATTGCAAACATATGTAGATATATGTGTGTGGGCCAAGAAAGAAATAGAACATTAAGCCAGGCGTAGTGTCACATGCCTATAATCCTAGTACTCTGGGAGGGTGAAGCAGTAGGATCTCAAGTTAGAACCTAGCCTGAGCAATTTGACTTGCTGAGATTTTTTTTTTTGAGGTATAATGGCATAATAGTTTTAATATAACCACCAATCTTCACGAAATAATTTTAATACTTTGTGCCTGAGCTAGCAGCATCTTGCATTGTGACATTCCTCTGCATACATAAGCATTTACCCAAGTACAAATGTTAAAAGTAGAGTAACATAATCAATTGGCTATACAAAGGTAAATAGACACTGTACATTATTCTTTTCTTGAATCATTTTTGCTGCATAGTAAATTGCAATTACATGTCAGCATAATGTTACTGATCTATAGAACACACTTTGTTTTGTTTTGTTTTTTTGATACCAGGGATCGGTCCATGCGCTTGTGAGGCAGGCTATAGAATACACTTTGAACTATGAGGTATGGCAACTCTATTGAGAAGAGAGCTAACGTGTAAACCTGTATTTAACATGTAAAATATTATGAGTGATTTTTTTGTTTTGTAGCTGCCATGGATAGGAAAGACAAAATCCAGCATTCAAAGACTAGAAACTTTATTTTTCTAATGAACAAACAAACAAAAGTAACTCTTACCTATTTATCATTTCCTCATTTTAGCATTGTTGAATGGAAAAAGATAAATACTGAAGTGAAGCTATGTTTTGTTATGGAATTATGGATTAAACCAATTATTTAAAAAAAAAATCCACCAGTTAACTGCTCATTTACTTTACATCAAGTTGAGCTCCTGATATATACATCTCAACTTTATAATTCAAGATTGCAGTTAAATACTTATAATTCACTGTAATCACCATGGCAGTAGGACAGTTAGAAACATTAATAATATTTTCTCAGAAAGGACATGCTTAACATTTTCTGATGTTATTTCTAAACTCAGATTAAGCACAAAATCCCCCCACCCAAAAGTGGAGGAATATTCTGCTCTACAAGTTGAGTGATTGAGAGCTGATAGCAAAAGCTATCGTGGTTTAACATTTCCACCACAGAGTAGTTACAAATAAAGCTAACTGTTGTTTAAGCATCTAATAAGAAATTAACACGAACCAATTAGATGAAATTAGAAGAAAGCTGCCATTCCAGTTTGAATATTTTCAGTGCTATTTCAAACTTTCAAAATGGACAGTAATGCAATTGATGTAATTGCATAATTACAGCAATGTTTTGATGTAATTTCACTTTAAATTCTGTGCCCAGATTACATATTTGATGTTAAAATTGGGGAGTCACTCATACATTATTCAAATGCTCTAGAAAACAAAATATAATTGGTTAAGTTTATCATAGTCAACTATCACAAACCATCATTGGAAATAAAAGGATCACAGAATGAAACCAAAAATAGGAGAAGCTAACAGAAGAACTAATTGAACATTTTTTTTTTTTTTTGTTAGTACCGAGGATCAAACTCGGGTCCTTTTGCTTGCGTAGCGGGTGGTGAAACCACTGAGCTAAATCCCTGGCCACTAATTGAACATTTAATGCAGATGAGCAGATCCAAGAAAAAACAATCTTCAATGTTTCTTATATGAAAGGATAATCTTGTGTTTTGTCCACATTCACTGCTCTTATACTCAAGATGATGGCAGTCTCTTTTGCTTGTGTTTAAGAGAAACTGTTTTAGTAAACAGTGCTGGGCAGGCATTTTAGTGACAACATAGAAATGATACTGGATAGAAAAAATTGAAAATTACAGCTATAAATTAGTTTCAATAACTAAATCTTTTTTTTTTCCTGGTACTGGGGATTGAACCCAGAGTCTTTATGTAACATTGAGCTACATTCTCAGCCTTTTTATTTTTGAGACAGGGCTTCACTCAATTGCCCAGGCTGGGCTTAAATGTGAAATCCTCTTGTCTCAGCCTCCTGAGTAGTGGGATTACAGGAATGTGCTATCGAAACTGTATTTTTAGGCAGACTTCTAGAAATGATGTATTTTTACCAAACTAATTTTTAAAAACTCCTAGGTTTTAACTGCCTAAGTTGTAAAATCCACATTTACCTTCATAAAAATTATTTTAAGCAGAGTTTCTGCTGAATGAAGTATTTAGGTTGATTACATTTCAAGAGACAGTTTTGCTGACCTACCCTGGAACAATTTATATACAGAAAAGCCACGCTATCTAGGTCTTTACCAACTAGAATTTTGAACATCCAGTGCAATATGAATTCCACTAGACTATGACACCAGATGACCCAATCACACAGTACAGCTTTTTCTATATTATTACATCTCAGGGAGGAAAGCATGACTTGCTGAGACTTTGTATCAAAATAAAAAATAATAATGGCTGGGGATGTAGTTCAGGGCAAAGGCCCTGGGTTCATCCCCAGTACCAAGAAAGAAAAAGCAACAGCACATTATTGGACTGCTATAGTCTCCTTCGTGTTCCTCCCGGCTGTGTCCTCCCCTGCTTACCATAGGGTCTGGTCGCCTGAATTTGTTTTGATTATCCTTTGGCTGCGTTTTACCACAGTGACATGTATCCTAAACAATCTGTTACTAATTTTGCCTCTTCTTGAATTTTACATAAATGTAGTCACATAGACTTGCTTTTCTGTTCAACATAAGTTTTTGAAATAATATTTTTGAGGTTAATCCCTTCTCTCCTTTGCTTATCTGGTGCTTATTCATTTTTACTACTGTTGAATCCTCCATGATATGAATATCCCATGATTTATTTATCCATTTTAGGGTTGATGAACATTACATGGCTTCTAGTTTTTTTTTTTTTTTTTTTTTTACAAATGATGCCAAGGACATTTTTGTATGTGTCTTCTGATCCAGTATATAAGAAATTCTCTAAGGCATGAACCCGGAACAGAATTGCTAGGTCAGAGGGTGTGTGCACATTTGTTTTTAGTAGTTGATCTTCCAGAGTGGTTTGTCATCTGTTCTTCACTGCAATGTGTGAGTTGTCTCCAGGTCTGGCCGGCACCCTCTGACGCTACTCCTGTGAGGGGGAGAGGGCCTACCTTGTCGTTGCGGGTGGGATGCGAATCCAGGCTCTCCACCAGCCCTGGTGAGACCACCCTGTCTTAGTAGAGCTGCAGGCTTCCTCTGTGTGCAGAGGGCCTTAGCACTGCTAGGCTGGATAACAGCTCTAGCTTCCCACCTCTGTCCTTTTCCTGGGTTGTGGGGTGGGGTTACCTTGTCAGCAGGGACCAGGTGGAAGTAGGGTTCCCACTTCAGCCTTGGCCGTGTGCGTGTGTGTGTGTGTGTGCGTGTGTGTGTGTGTGTGTGTGTGCGTGTGTGTGTGTGTGTGTGTGGTGGGTCCAGGGCCATGGTTTTGTGTGTGCAGATCAGTTGGAGTGGAGCAGTCATACTTGAAATGTTTCTGCCTGGCCAGGCTGCTCCTTCCCTGGGGTTTTGGCTAGAGAAGCCAGCATTTCTTGGTGTTCTTGGTCTGCAGCTGTGGCATTTCTGGGTTGCTGATTTCTCCAGCACCTTGTCTGAGAAATATGAGGCCCAAAGAAAACCCAGGGAACTCATCACCTTGTCATCCCATGGCCTTGCAGTCTCTAGTCCATCTGCCTTGCAGAGCCTTGCTCTGTTTGTTTAAGTGTAACGTCTGGGCTTTGAGATGGACTTAGAGGGCAGAGGAGTAAGGAAAAGTGTGTCTCTGCTGTTTGTCTGGAACCAGAAGTTGGCCTGGTTTTTGTGGGTGCTGGCAGCGTTATGTGTCTATACCCTTTCTAACCTGGTTTATGGGAGTGTTCTCAGGGCCTTTTTGTTTGTTTCTTTACATGTACATCAGGTGGGGACCTGTCTCCACTGGAATTGGCTGATGTGAATGGAGACGGCCTGCGGGATGTGCTCCTCTCCTTTGTGGCATCAAGGAATGGGAGCTCAGCAGGTAAGGGACATGTCTTTCTGAGGCTGCTGTCCGCCAGGAAAAAGTATCTGTTGTGCCGAAAGGAGCACCACAGGAGGTCTGCAGTGAACAGGAGGTTACCACACATCTGTCATACATGATGAGTCTGATCAGAAAGTGCTTGTGTGAAAATAAAGCTCAGTCCAAGAAACCCAGAGAGAGTTATAGTGGGAAGGAGCTTTCAGTGGCCGCTGAAGAAACTGATCCGGGAGGAAGTGGTTTCTCCAGAGAGCTTCGGGCGAAAGTTTCTGGAGTCCCTCCCCATCTGCTCTGCATGGCCTCTTAGCTCGTAATGAATGTCAGCTACCCAGTTCTCCCAGCCCTGGCCCATGCCTTTTTTCACGAACTTACAGGTGCCATCTGAAAGGCAGTATGCACTTGAATTTAAAATATTTACTACCATTGTAATAAGAGGCACATTTCCTTAATCTCTGCCTCAGAATTCTCCCCCTGGCTTCAGACACACCTATCCTGTTATTCTTTCCACTTTCTGAAGCAGTTCTGAAGGCCCTCTTTCATGAGTGTCTTTAGTTGTTCTGTCAAGGATGCCTTGATGTCCTGAATTGGTTCAAAATATTTACCTTTCACAGTCATTTTGACTTTGGGAATGATCCAGAAGTCATATGATGGCAGATTTGAATAAGATAGATTGCAGACTGTAATGGTTTTACAAGCCTGCCTTTCCATTGGGTGGCACTCAGCAGCAGCATTCACTGTGTTTTTGATCATGCCTTGTACAGACACTCATAAAAGAGGACTCTCAGAACTGCTTTAGGAAGTGGCAAGAACAATGGGGTAGATGTGATCAAAGTGAGGGGGGCATTTTGAGGTTTAATGGATGTGTCTTTTTTAAAAAATTTTTTTATTTTTTTGAGACAAGGTCTCACTTTGTAGTGCAGACGGACCTTGAACTCACTATGTAGCCCAGGCTGGCCTCAAACTTGCAGCAATCTTCCTGCTTCAGCTTCCCTAGTTCTAGGACTACAGGCATGTGCCACCATGCCCAGCAATGGCAATGTCTTTTATTAAATTTTGAAGATTTAAACTTTCACTGTATTTTTTTTGTTTGGTACCAGGGATGGAACTCGGGATCTTCCACTTGCCAGGCAGGCGGTGGCACCACTGAGCTAAATCCCCGGCCCCTTTCACTGTATGTTTTGATCACCTCTTGTACACATTTGTGCACACATACCCCTTGGCTGGGTGCTGTCGTCTTCTCCCTGGTTTACACTCCTGATATCCTGCCTTCTGCTTGGGGAGGCTGGCCTGTAAGTCTGGGTCTCTCCACCCTGACCATATCTTTTTTTTTTTTTTTT